TGAAAAATAAAAATAAAAACAAAAAAAACGTATCAACTGTATTTGATTTCGATGATATTTTGAATATTTTCTTAACTAAGACAAATATATTCATACTAAATTTTTGATAAATATCATTTCAAATTTAGTAATCATTTCATTTACTTTGTCATTAAGTTAATATTAATATATAAATATCTCGAAAGCATCAAAATAAGATTTATTTTTGTCGATTAAGAGCTTGCTCTAAAAATTGAATGTATCGTTTTGTTGCAGTATCAATACCATCAGAAATTCTAAAAAAAATATTTAATAGAAACGAATGACAATAATTTTGCAATATTACATATTTAGAAATTGTTCAGATGTTGAATCTACATTTAATAAATCATTTGCATTGACTTTACTAATAACAGTACCATCGATTTGTTGAATCATTGATTGAACAGGAAATGAATAATTATCAACTGCTTGTTTAGCACGTTGAGAGTCTTTAATAGTATCATTTAATTGATTTGAAATAATTGCCTGACAAAAAAAAGATTTCATTACTTGAATATGTTTTAGATAGAAAAGAAATTTACTTTTAAATCGACTACTAATGTCCATGTTGATACAAAATGTTCACGTAATAAATGTTGAACGGCCGAACTTTACGTGAAACAGGTGATGTAAAAAAATATCTCAAATAAAATTATTTAATAAAATTAATACATTTAGTTCTCGAAAGTTCGGCCGTTCAACATTTATTACGTGAACATTTTGTATCAACATGGACATTAGTAGTCGATTTAAAAGTAAATTTCTTTTCTATCTAAAACATATTCAAGTAATGAAATCTTTTTTTTGTCAGGCAATTATTTCAAATCAATTAAATGATACTATTAAAGACTCTCAACGTGCTAAACAAGCAGTTGATAATTATTCATTTCCTGTTCAATCAATGATTCAACAAATCGATGGTACTGTTATTAGTAAAGTCAATGCAAATGATTTATTAAATGTAGATTCAACATCTGAACAATTTCTAAATATGTAATATTGCAAAATTATTGTCATTCGTTTCTATTAAATATTTTTTTTAGAATTTCTGATGGTATTGATACTGCAACAAAACGATACATTCAATTTTTAGAGCAAGCTCTTAATCGACAAAAATAAATCTTATTTTGATGCTTTCGAGATATTTATATATTAATATTAACTTAATGACAAAGTAAATGAAATGATTACTAAATTTGAAATGATATTTATCAAAAATTTAGTATGAATATATTTGTCTTAGTTAAGAAAATATTCAAAATATCATCGAAATCAAATACAGTTGATACGTTTTTTTTGTTTTTATTTTTATTTTTCA